GGGGGGGGGGGGGGGGCGGGGGTGATCAACTTCAGCAAGCGAGGCCACCATGAATTGCTATCCATCATGGATGATGATAACGATCGTGGGTAGATGGAACGGTTTGTCTCTGTTGCCACCAGTGACATCATTCTAGCCTCGGAACCTTCCTTTCTAGAATTGTGGAACCACACTCGTACGTATACAATTTGCTTCTCCTCTTGTTAAATATCCTTTTCTCCTCATTGTTAACTTTTCTTCATTTACCCGCCTCAATGACTTGGTGGGTTCCCCCTAGGGTTGAGGGTTTGGACCTATGGGTTCAGAAAATTTTGACGTTACTACACCAAAAACCCGCTCGCATAAAGAGCTGTCCCTAAAATATGGGTGGAAGGACAAAAATCATGGTAAGTTTAACTCATCATGTCATTACCTTTTCTTATGATAAAGTTATTTGATTCTTCTCTCCTATTGAATATAGGTCAACCTCAGGGCTTAGTTGTCTTCCCCGAGAAGGATGTTTTGGCTGATCTTGCTGATGCGGCGAGGCTGCTGCAAAAAGCTTTTTCACAAAAAGGCGTCTTCAGGCCTGCTTCTAACGCAAGTGCTTCTTCTCAGAGTCCCCGACCGGAGAACAAGCAACCAAAAAGAAGGCATTCCTCCGTAGCCGGGGGAAAGAATAAGATAGCGAAGAATGCTTCCCGTCATCTCTGAAAGTCGTGGTGACGAGCCCTCCGCCTAGGTCGACAATAGATACCGTGATGATTGACGATGATGGAGAAGCTAGCAAGGAGGGAGCTTCTTTACATAGAAGACAATGACCTTCCTCAACTCAACAGACCGCCCAATCTATTGAGTTAGTTACACTAACTAAAGACGATGTCTCGACGCTCTAGGGTAGTATGAAATGGTGGAAAATGGCAACTCCCGCTTCTGGATCCCAATCGCTACGCCTGATATTTTGGGGCTGAGTACCGGGTCCTTTCCTTCTTCGATTGGTGAGCAACCAACAACCAGCACTGCGTTTGTCGCACTTGTTTATCTTCCTTCAATGCCATCAGCTTCATCTCCATCTTCACCAACTCTTCCACCATCAACTGCTACATCATCTCCACTGGTCGCATCTACTCGAGAAGAGGGTGTTCTTCTCCACTAATCCCCAGTTCATGGGAATTTGGGGAAAAATTATGCTCCCTCTTCAGAATATTCGCAAAGGAGGAGGAGCGTTACTCTCTTGGTCTCCACCGGATGCAATTTGCTATCCCGGGCGGTGGAACTTGCTAACTATCTAAAGCCTTTGGCTTCAGAAAAAGATTGGGAAAAGATACAGGCTCTCTCAGGAGAGTGATTGTTTGAACAATGCCATGCACAACGCCGCAGCAGTACATTGTTCACTTCTTTTGTTATTTCTTTTGTTTTTGCCTGAAAATATCCTGAGTTTTCCTATCTTGTTTTGTAGGCCAATTTTCTTGCTTCTGAGGGCCTCCAAAGGTTGATTCGGGAAAAAGAAGAACTTACCTTTGCATGGGATCAACTTTTGGCTGAGCGAGAGCAAATTGCTGCTCGCCTCTTAGAATTGGAAGCCAAATTTGCTGAGGTCGTTGTATTGGAGACTTATTTGTAGCAAAGCAAGCAAGAATTGGTAACCCTTAGCCAAGAGATTGGCCCGCTGAGGGTTAAATTTGACGAAGTCGAGGTCAAATGGGCTGAAGTCCATAGTGTCATTCTTGCTACAACGGATCGCGAGGCTGCCTCTGCTGAAAGATTGACCAACTTAGAGGCAGCCTTGAACTCCAAAACTAAAGAGCTTGCTATTGCGGGGATGAAACATGCCCAATTGGAGGAGAAGTATAGGAAGACTATTGAGCATAATAGACTTTTTAGCTCAACTTCCTGCGAGCTCGATGTTAGCCTCAAGTCCATTAGATCTGCCCGGGAACACCTTTCTGCCAAGGTCATCCAGCTCAAAGAAGAACTTAAGCGCCAAACGGCTTCCCTCATTGTTGAGAAAACTTATGCTATGTACAACATGAGGAGAAAAACCTTGGAAGAGGCTAAAGCGGATATCATTGACTTTGATGCTAAAATAACTAAGGCCCATGAGCTTGAGTCAGCTGCTAAAAGGGGTCTCCCGGTAGGGCCTGATGCTTCCAGTTCCGAAACTTCGGAAACTAAAGAGGAATCAAAAGGCGAAGACGTTGAAGGCCAAACTGATGAGGGCCAAGATATTGAGCCATCGGCAGATCTACCCACTTCCTCTGGGGGCGCGGACACTTCTCTTCCTCCGGGTTCCGAAGATGCAACAGTTTCACTTTTCCTTTCTTTTTCCAATTTTTGTATCCGTGCCACTTAGGCATGTTTATTGTGAATAAAGACATCTTTTGCTCAAGTATTGTCTGAGTCTTTTCTTTGTTTGATCATTTATACAAGTTTTAATTTTTGCATTTTTTTTGCTTAAAGTGTTCTGCGCAAGTTTTACTGTTTGGGTCTTATTATGTAAGGCCTTGGGTTTATTTTTTCCCCGAAAGCTTGTGGATTTCGGGCACAAGTTCTTCCAAAATCAACCCTTTATCATGAGGGTTTTTATAAGAGAGGGCCCCCTTATGTTTACGGTGCTCTTGAAGAGGACATCTCATGTT